AGAATAAACAAAAAAAGACTAGAGAGAAAACAGAAGTACAATATGATTTTAAAAAAAACTTCAGAAACAGTCTAAGTCTCCAAAAAAATTGAGTGTCAAGTGATGCACCCTGTTTAAGGTGAAAGTGATAGCCAGGAAATGACAGGTTAATTAGAAAACTACAGGTTCGTTAGAAAACTACAGGTTCATTAAGAACAGTTAGTGTGGATTTGTAGAGGATAGGTCATGTCAGAACTATTTAATTTTCTTCTAATTCCTTAACTGGATGTGGATGCCACTGGCTCGGCCAGCACTTGTTGTCTATTTCTATTTGTTTGAGACTCTGCCTTTTGTAAACTACTGCAGTCCATATTAAAAATCAAACAATTCAACAATTTATTTGCCTATTTCTTTTCAAAAACTTTATTTATTTATAATGTGTAAATCAGATAAAGGTACTGCAGTAAATGTTCTACCTATGAATCTTCATGCTTTAGATTAAAAGAATGCTATACAAGAGATGCAGTTTAAAAATGAAGTATTAAAAAGAATGGAATAAGTGAACGGAAAGACGGCGATGATGCAGAAAGCAAGCAGTAAGAATACATGCATTTTTTGGATCAGTGGCATGTGGACAATGGTATGTCCCAGAGCTTTAAGCCTTAAGCTTATTGTTGTGTCATTTACACTAATATTCTTGACACTACAGTGTAGATTTCTCTTTGACGGTTGAGTGTCTTTAGAATTTCTTCCGCAAAAAGCAGTGGATACAGAATCTTGAAATACCTTTAAGGCAGAGATAGGTAGGTTCTTGATTTACCAAGGAGAAGAAAGATTATTGGAGATACACAGGAATGCTGAGTTGAGGTTAAAATCAGATCAGCTACGATCTTATTGAATTTTGGAGCAGGATTGTTCATTATACGTTTGCTGGTGCTCAATTAAGGGGTCACGGCAAACTATTAGGAAGAATGCAAGTAATTGAAGAGGAACAAAAACAAAATTTCTGGAAAAGCTCAGCAGGTCTGGCAGCATCTGTGAAGGAAAAAAACAGAGCTAACATTTCAGGTCTGGTGACCCTTCCTCAGAACTGGAAGGAAGGGTCACCGGACCCAAAACGTTAACTCTTTTTTTTCCTTCACAGGTGCTGCCAGACCTGCTGAGCTTTTCCAGCAACTTTGTTTTTGTTCCTGACTTACATCATCTGCAGTTCTTTCGGTTTTTATATTGAAGAGAGGCATGTCTGTGGAGAGAGTAGATAGCTGGCTTAAAGCAGAGAAAATGCAAAGCCCTATATTTTGGGAAAGAATTAGGCCTACTGAATGAAAAAAAAAAGAGGAAATGTGGTTGATTATGTACAAGCTTTCAGTTCAGCTCAGTTGCCATACAGAATACATCTCCTGCACTCATTTACAGAAAGGTTATTAGAGCAATGGGAAAAATAGAGTCACTTGACTGGCATACATGAGGTTATAGTTATGGAAGAAACTTGGTGGTTTCAATGGAAGACAGACAAAAGGGATACTAATTTTATAAAAATGTTTTAAGGAGTAAAAAGAAGTAGCTCCCACTGGTTGGTGAATTGGCAAAAGGGTTGTGGACACAGGACATTCCACAAGAACAAGCTGGCAGTTGAACTAAAGTGTTTTTTTTTAAATTAGTTCATTTATCAAAACAGGGAATTATTTTCTGCAAGTGGTACAGAGACAAAAACTATAGAGGTGAAGTAGTTAAATCAAGCTCAGATACAGATGCAATTGAGTGAATAATGTTTATCTCGGTGGATTTTTGTTTTAAATTCCACAAAAGGAATTTATACTTGCATCATGTCACAGATGCATTCTGCACAAACTGCAGGAGTACAACTCAGCATTACTGACTGAAATTTGTGTTCATAATCTGCACTTAAATATTATGAGATATCAATAGTGCTGTACAGAATCAAGATCTAGGATTTGCCACAGATTAGAAGATTAAACAGAAGTTAACAACATCTCCACAAATCTAATCACCCTGCAGGTCTCATGGATAGATGGATGGGATTTTGTGACTTAAAGCAGTCACAACCAAAGACAAAGACAAAGACAAAGACAAAGACAAAGACAAAGACAATCAGAAAACACAGGCAATCAATTCAAGTTTATTATGTTCCTGTCTGTATGGAATAGACCTGAAGTGGCAAAGGTTTAGGTAGAAAGCATTGTGTAGAAACCACAGATTAATTGCCAGGGCCTTTCAGGCACTGCTTTGTGTGACAAATACCTGTTGGGACAGATTGAGACAACAGACTGACTGCTCTTAATATTAATCAAGTGGTGTACAAAATTACTATTAAATGCCTGGCATTCAATTCCTTTGTGATAGCCCCGGTGCATCCTATTACTATTACCAACTGCATGGGAGGCTGTTAAATAAACACCACATCCCACTTTTAACCAAGAGGGGTTCTCAGCTGAGGTGAGACAAAACTTAAAGTACAAAGACGGATGCTAGAAATTACTGGTTGACTTAGTTCAGTTGAGTAACCCACAAAAAAGCTGGGCATTAATCTAAATCCAAGTTATCCAACATCACACTCCATAAGCATCCTTTATGACGCTGCCATCAGTCCTTGCGTGCTCCTCAAATTTTTTGGCCAATTCCAATCCCACACACTAAACATTTTGCATCTGCAGTCTTGGGAGAGGCCTGCAGCTAACTGAAGAAGTCACTCAAAAATTTTCCTGATCCTTCAAAGCATTCAGCAAACATGAAGTGACCCCAAACCACTGAAATGATTTATATCTCAGAATGTAATCACCTCTTCTCCAGCAAGTCCACTAATTGCATTCTTGAAGGACCAATATGCATCGATGAGTACACTTTCAACTCGATGTCCACAAGTTGATAAATATCTGGAAACAACAACAATCCAGGCATCCAATCTCACTTGCTTTGTTTTTAAATACAGTTGACACACATCTTTACCACTACAAACATACTAGCTACTTTCATAGCGTCTTTGCCTTTAATAGGCAGTATACTGCATTAACTTCCTCTCCAGAATTAAGGATATTGTTTTAAATATTGATCATCAGTCTGTACTTAAGTATACACTGGCAATGGATTGTTTCTAAAACTAAGATTTTTGAGGATAACAAACTCGCTACCCTTGCACATTTTGCACGGAGGAGGATTTGAATCCGTTCAATAAGTCATGCCTTGAGCTCATTTCTACAAGTGCTGAGAGTTTACTGCGTCAGAAAATGAAACCTGGCATTAACACCAGAAACATTCAAACAAGTTAATTTGCTTATGAAACCCAGCAATAGATTGTACTTTAAAAAATAATTCTTAAAACAGAGGAAAGGGACAGGGGCGGAGGAAGCAATAGGACCTGCCTGATGTAAGCGCATTTGTTCACTTTAGGCTTCTGGAAAATGGTACCAAGTATATTTGTGTCTACTGTGGCTAGGTGGTAGCATTCTCACATTAGATTTGGAGGTTATGGGTTTAAGCGCCACCACAAAGATGGGTACAAAAGGCTGACCTTCCAGCACAGAATTATCAGAAGTGGTGCCTTTTGGAGATGTTAAGCAAATTCCTCATCTGTCCTCTCAATTGGTGATGAAAAATCCCATGACATTATTTCAAGCCACAGCAGACGAGTGTGCTCCGCTGAGCTAGTCAATGTTTATCCCTCAACAAATATTACCAAATCAGGTTACCTCGTCTTCAACATTTTGTATTTGAAGGAACAAGTTGTGTGGAAATTGATTGCCTTAACAATGACTACACTTCACTAACTGAAAAATGCTGAGACATCTTGAGGTCATGAAAGGTGCTCTATAAATTCAAGTTGTTTTTTTTTAAATTTGGTGATTTTTCAGCTTCGAGACCCAAGTTATTTGCAATTAATGAGGTGGCACAGGAAGTCACCTACCAAGACCACAGTCAAGCAGGCTGGTCTCACTCTACTCCCAGCCGAGAAGGGAGTAAAGTAAATTTTGCTAACAGTGGCACATGTCAATCTACAAAAAAGTCTCAAGATTACACTTCACAAATTTTTCAACAGAATTTCACACTCACTTTGCCTGCAAATAGAAATATAGGATACAGCAAGACGGCTGCGAACCAGCACTAACCTGCAGACTCTTCCCAACTTCCTTAGTACAACTCCCAAGCTCCCAAGTGTGACCCTGAATTTGATGAAGGGAAAAAAACTCTCCAAATACTTTGCAAAAGAGATAAAAATACAATTTGATAACTAACTGATCTAGTTTTGGCTACCTATAATCAATTGAATACTTTTTGACAATACAGTACACTTAACGAAAACTGGTTGGTCTCTGATCAGGTCTGGCCACCAAAAAGCTCAAAATTGCATTAAGTTAGAATGTTCAAGGAAATTAGTGTTCATCTGGGTGTTCCTTAAAATCTTAAAGCAAAAGCTCCCTTCTGATTTACATTTTTAAAAACCCTCAGCATCCACTAAGACAGTGTGGTTGGCAGATATGCATTCACACACAGATAGGACATCAGAAAACAAGCCAACAATGACTTCATTCCCTTGCTTGGGGTCCAATCTCAGAACTTCGAAGTTAGAGGAAACCGCTTTTGGAGAATGTGCAAGCCTCTGCCCCACATTCAGAAATATAGCCTTGTTTCACCAATCAGAATTTAGCTGACTAAACAAAAGAGACAAGAATACTTCCCTATACCCAAAACATTATTCTTTACTGTGTATAGATTTAGGCTGTCTCCCCTTTTGAATGCAAAAACTCTTGACTGAGAGTTGATATTTGCCTTCACCAGCTGGCTCACCTTCAGACATGAGGTTCTGCAGTGAGCTTTGGCAAAGTGCTTCACTGGAAGCAGATCAAAGCAGAGCTCCAGATTGTCCTCACCTTATATTCACATGTTCAAAGTTTCAGCAAGAGGGTCATCAGGAGCAGGAGTACTTAACTTTTCTTCTTTGTAGTCAGTTATAGATCTCCCCATCCAGCTCAAATCTGGCAATAATAGACAGATCAGGCCTGGGATCACATTATGTGGTGTATTTATTCTATTAGCCACCATAGTAAGTATAACTAGACATTTCTTCAAGAGTAATTCTAATTTTTCTCCTATCAACAGTACACAAGCCATCATGTTGCTTACTTAGAAGTGACAGTACCTCATCTCACTTGGATATTCTTAACGGCCAAAGGAAACAGCTGTAGAGGATAACAGACAGATCGAGGTGTCTTTGATCCTTTCAATCCCATGAGCTGGAGTTCAAATAGTTGTTCTACAGACTGAGCTGTACCTTCCTTAAACAAAAAGGAAAAGGCTCTTTTGGAGAGTTACAGGTACGGAGTAGTTATGTGCTTAGCTATGCATTTCTGAAAACTGGGTTCAACAGGTTTAACACAAGAATCACAAATCTGTGGGGCAACAAAGTGTACTTTTTAAAAGGGAATCCAATTGTTGATTACAAAACACAAACTAAACAAAAAGTGCTTCAGTTTTTATAATTTCCCTTTTTATGCAATAATGAGGTTTATCTACACACAAAGAAAAAACCCATAAAGTTTTGTTTTGCACTTCTGCACCAGACTCTTGCTGAACCTCATTTAAACCATTCCTTAGTTCATAGGTTTCTCTGCTCTCGGACACGAAGTGTGGAACTCAAGCAGTCAAAGTGTTGCTCAGAGCACTTTTATCCAGGAAAAAGGGAATTATAATTTTGGGAATAGCTATTACTCTTCCTTCAAGGAGAGCACAGCAGAAAGACTGAATGCAAGAGGGATGGTTTTACAGGGATCCATCCATCTTTTTACATGTTGCTCCGAAGAAGTCCATTCATGGAAAAAGGTCAGCAACAGTTACGTTTTGGGTCAGATGGTTGTCTCCTCAGCTTGAATCCTTTACTGTTTGTCGGTGGATTGACAGCTGTTGAAGGAATCCGACGACCTAAAAAGACAGGGAAAATAAATTAAAATAGCTTTGACCTACAAGGGAGCAAAGGGTTATTAGACAGCATGCAGTAAAGTAAAATTAAGGCCAGAAACAGATCAGCCATAATCTTGTTGATTGGTGGGGCAGTCTCAAAAGGTTGAATGGCCTACTCTTACTGTGGGCATTCTGGCTAAGTTTGCAGACAATACAAAGATAGGTGAAGGGACAGGTGGTGTCCCTTGAGGTGGTGGCAAGGCTTTAGAAGGATTTGGACAGGTTAGGAGAGTGGGCAAAGAAGTGGCAAATGGAGTACAACGTGGGAAAGTGTGAGGTCATGCACTTTGGTAAGAAGAATAAAAGCATGGACTATTTTCTAAATAGGGAGAAAATTCAGAAGTCTGAAGTGCAAAGAGACTTGGGAGTTCTAGTCCAGGATTCTCTCAAGGTAAACTTGCAGGTTGAGTCAGTAGTCAGGAAGGCAAATGCAATGTTGGCATTTATTTTGATTGGACTTGAATATAAAAAGCAGGGATGCACTACTGAGGCTTTATAACACTCTGGTCAGGCCACATTTGGAGTATTGTGTGCAGTTTTGGGCCCCATATCTCAGGAAGGATGTACTGGTCCTGGAGCGGGTTCAGAGGTGGTTCACGAGAATGGTCCCAGGAATGAAAAGCTTAACGTATGGAGGAATATTTGAGGACTCTGGGACTGTACTCATTGGAGTTTAGAAGGATGAGGGAGGGATCTAATTGAAACTTTCAGAATACCGAATGGCCTAGACAAAATGGATGTTGGGAAGATGCTTCCATTGGTGGGAGAGTCTAGGACTTGAGGGCACAGCCTTATAGTAAAGGGAAGACCTTTTAGAACGGAGATAAGGAGAAACTTCTTCAGCCAGAGAGTGGTGAATCTATGGAATTCACTGCCACAGAAGGCTTGGGAGGCCAGCTCATTGAGTACATTTAAGACTGAGATAGATAGGTTCTTGGTTATCATGGGGATCAAGGGTTACGGGAAGAAAGCAGGAGAATGGGGTTGAGGAACTTATCAGCAATGATTGAATGGCAAAGCAGGCTCGATGTGCCGAATGGCCTAATTTCTGCTCTTATGTCTTATGGTCCTACTCAGATTTCTTATTTTTTTTTTTATAAAAGACTTGGCCTCAGTCACAGCCTGCTCTGCCAAACTCTAGTACATCACTATTTGGCAAATGCTACAGAGAACAGACATTTCCTACCAAATTAAATTGTAATTATAATTTCAAGCACATATGATTAATAACACATCGAGTTTGGTGTTAGAAGACAAATGCCCATGATCACATCAAGTCAATGTAAGTTTGCTGTAGCTCATTAGACATTTTGAAACTCCAGACTTGAAGGGAAGACACAGAAGGGAAAAAAAGGTTATTTGGTTTGACTGCAAGCCTTGAAACTCAGGAGCTATTGAGTGGCTTCCTTATTATTTTACATCAGAGGCTTATACCTTTGTACCAAAATTTAAGAGGTGTGGAGTTTTGAGATACATTGTTGAAGATCTCAAACTGCAGAGTGTCAACTGTACAGTGAGGTTCAGAAGTTCTAAAACAGCTGGGCATTAACAACCTCTCACTAGTTCAGTAGCAACCAACAAGACATTTTAAGATTCACACTGCATTTTTCCTTGGATAGAAAGAGTATGGAACTTTCTTCAAGCAAGCAGAATATCAAACAATGATTTTAACATTCTTTGTACAGCTAAAGCTATACTCACTGATTTCTGCAAACAACTCATTAATATTAATGGCATTTTTGGCACTAGTTTCCACAAAGATTGCATGGATGGAATCTGCATAATCCTTGGCATCCTTTTCAAGTACTTCTCTGTAATAAATGGACAAAAAGATGAGCTCAGGCTTGCTTTGTGTAATTCAGGAAAGATTTTCAGTAAAGGATTAATATAGTTGAACGATAACAAGATAAGTTACATCTGCTTCAAACCTCTAATTTTTGGAAAAGATTAAATCAGATGTTTGTTCACCAGTTTTTGGGGCCTGTTTGGAGGGAATAATTAGGCCTGTAATGGCCATCATTCCAAGTAACATTTAAAACCCTATATTAGATTAAAAGCTTTCTATTAGAGACGACAAAGAGCAGCAGATAAAATGCAAATTATAATGCAAAGAGTTTGATGAGCTACAAATACTTTATTATAATGGACAGAATAATCACAAGATCAGGAAGAATGAGGTGAAGCTGTGATTCACCTTAAGGATTCAGGTTTTCATTTGCAGGCAGAACAGCCAGCTTTCTAATGACAGGGCCAAAAAAGCCAAGAGGAAGGGTCACCGGACCTGAAACGTTAACTCTTTTCTCCTTCAGATGCTGCCAGACCTGCTGGGCTTTTCCAGCAACTTAGTTTTTGTTCAAAAAGCACCAAGTGTTGCCTAACACATCTGGTCTCTAATGGCATATAGTTTCTCAAATAATGAACATCTACCTTCTTGGTTTATTGCTGCTGGGGCACACTTTAAGCAGGCAGATGGTGACACAGTCTGACAAATCCAGAAATCCTTAACATGGTGGCTCAGCGGCTTCACAGCACTACAGACCCAGGTTCAACTCCAGTCCTGGGCGATTGTGTGGAGTTTGCACATTACCCTTGCGTCTGTGTGGGTTTCCGCCGGTCCTGTGGTTTCCTCCCACAGTCCAAAACATATGCAGGTTGGGTGGATTGATCATGGAAAATGCAGTGTTACAGGGACCAGGTGGGAGGTTGGGTCTGGGTGGGATGCCCTTAGGAGTTGGGAACTGTCAAGTCCTTTAAGAATCCAAATTGTTTCAATGAGATCACCTCTCATTGTTCTAAATTCCAGTCAGTAGAGTCCCAACCTGTTTAGTCTTGGCTCATATGACAATCCCTCTAAAACCAGGGATCAGAGTGAATCTTCTCTTAACTGCCTCCAATGAAATTATATCTTTTCTTAAATAAGCTTTCTTTCTCCATTTAATATGCTGTTCTTTCATTCTCCCTTCCAAAACGATTGGCTTCACATTTTCCCACATTATACCCTTTATCAACATTTTGCCCACTTACTGAACTTAATAACACCTCTCTAAACTGTGTATCCCTCTTGCAACCTGTCTTTCCATCTATTTTTGTGTTGCCTACAAATCTGGCCACAGTACATTTGCTTCCTTCCTCAATATACTACAAGTAGCTGTGGTCTCAGCACTGATCCTTGTGGAACGCCACTGGTCCCACATTGCCAATCTGAAGGCGAACCTTTCATCCCCACCTTTAGGAGGGGACTGATTTTTAAATTAGTAATGGGTTGAAGGGTTGTGAAGACTGGGGAGAAAGTAGAGCCAAGATATGATCAGCCATGGTTGTAACAAACAGCTGAATGGACTCAAATGGCTGAATTGCCTACTCCTGCTCCTAGCTGTTATGGTCCTATTACAATTTTAAGTTACCGCAATATAGCTGCCAATTTGAATCCACAGCACTCTGTTTCCAAAAGACGACAAAATGGAGAAAGCAGCATCTTAGGGAGTTTTGCCAACATCTACATCACAAAATAACCAGTATTAAATGTAAGTGATCCAACCATTTCCGACTAAGACGACTGTAGTGTCATTTTTCTACCATAGACACCCCAAGCCAAAGAAAAAACCCCAGTAAATTGGAAGTTTGCGATGCTTGCTTTTTCTTTTACTGTTCACTCATTATATTTCCGCCACATCAGTAGAAAGAAAACCTCTGGTGTAAAAAGACTTTGGTCAGTGCAGCACATAATCAGGAAGGGATGACTGGCTAGCACAGAGATACATAGCATGTTTGACTTTATAAGCATTGTAGAGACAGGATTAAAGAATGGCCAAGACTGGGACCTGGATGTCAAACAGTACAAGATATATCAGAATAACAGAAAGCCAAGAAAATGTGGTGATGTAGATCTACTAAGGATGGTATTTTCAAAGTGCTGAGCAATGACCTAAACTTGAAAGATCAAAATATACAATTAGGTTGATAACAACTATGAAAGGCAAGAGGCAATTTGAGAGAGTACTTTATAGGTCCCCTAACAGAACACAACACACACAAAAAAAAGGATACACAGGAAGTATACCCACAATCATTAGGAATTACTTTAATCTACATGTAGATTGGGAAATTCAGATTGGCAAAGATAGCCTGGAAAATGAGTTCCTAGAGATATATTCAAGACAATTTAAGAGTACATTGCAGAGTCAACCAGGGAGTAGGCTATTTTAGGCCTGGTGATGTGCAATGAGACAGGATAAATCAATCACTTCAGATGATGGTGACCACAACGCAATTGAATTTCATGCTATATTTTAAAAGTATATTGGGTGATAATTAGTATTTTAAACCTCAAGTGAATGAATAATTAATCAAGAAAGCTAGCAGGAATATAAAACCAGATAGGAAGAGCTTCTATATTTACCCAAATGGAAGAGGAGGAACTAAAGCCAAAGTCTCTCCGGGGAATTGATAATGGAAAACAAATAAATGGCAGGGATTTTGAACAGATATCTTATGTGTGTCTGCATAATAGATGGGCTTAAACTCACCATAGACAATTAAAAATCAAGGGGTGACAAGGAATAAACTTAAAGCAAAACATCATTAGAGGATAAAGTGTGAGGAAATGCTGGATCTAAAAGGCTGTTAAGTTAGCAGGATCAGATGGCCTGTATCCTTGGATATGCAAAGTGATGTTGGCACAGATAGCAGTTGCCTTGGTTATAATATCCCAAAATTGCTTAGATTCTGTAGGATCCCAGGAGACTGGAAAATAGCAAATCTCGCACTTTTAAGAGAGGAGGAAGGCGGCAAACAGGAAACAATGGGTCAATTAGCGTAATATCTGTCATAAAGAAAGTACTGAAATGTATTATCAAGGTGAAATGTAAGTAACTTAGGAAATCACAACGTTATCAGGCAGAGCAAACATAGCTTTGTGAAAGGGAAATACCTAAATTTACTTTACTAATCTATTAAAAAGTTTTTTGACAAAGTAAGATTTACAGTGAATAGACAGGAACCAGTAGATGTAATGGATTTGGATTTCCTAAAAGTGGTGATTGTGACAAAGATTGCTGCGCATGGTCTGTAGGTAATATATTAGGATGGGTAAGCTAACACGAAACACAGACGAACAGGCCTTTTCAGGTTGGCAAGCTGTAACAAGTCGAGCGCCACAGGGATCAGTCCTGGACCTCAAATCCTTAGAATTTATATTGACAATTTGGAAAAGGAGACTATGTATGGTAATTAAATTTGCGTAGACACCAAAATAGGTAGGAAAGTATGTTGTCAAAAGAAGGCAGAGAATCAGTAAAGTAATATAGACAGGTTAAATTAGTGAACAAAAGATTGACAGATGGAGTACAACATTGGTAAAATGAGCTGGTCTATTTTGGCAGAAAAGAATAGACAAACAGTACATGAATTAAGTGGAGAAAGATTGTACGATTTGGTAGTACAGCAGGATCTGGGTATCCTGATACGTGAATCACAAGCATGGGAAGAGAGATTAGGAAGCCAATTAGAATGCTGTCATTTACTGAAAAAGGGAAATAGAACATAAATAGGGAAGTTCTACTACACCTGTACAGGGCCTTACTAAGAGCACATCTGGAGTCAGAGAGAACACAGTGTGGAGCTAGAGGAACACAGCAGGCCAGGCAGCATCAGAGGAGCAGGAAAGATGACGTTTTGTGTCAGGACAGAAGGGTCCCAACCCTAAAGGTCAACTTTCTTGCTCCTCTGATGCTGCCTGGCCTGGTGTGTTCCTCCAGCTCCACACTGTTCTCTCTGACTCCAGCATCTGCAGCTGACTTTGACTTGCTTATTCGAAAGAGATTAATTGTATTTTAAGCAGTTCAGAGAAGGATCGCTGGATTCATTTCGTGGTTGAGGGCTTATATTATGAAGAAAGGTTACAAAGGTTAAACTATATCCATTAGAGTTTAGAAGAAATGAAAGATCATTTTATTGAAAGATTAATGTTGCGGGGGGGGGGGGGGGGGGGACCGGCGAAAATAGACATGAGGAGAATATTCTGTCTTGTGGAAGGCACTAAAACTTACAGGACATCTGTCTTAAACTTCTGGCTTATTTTTAAACTGTGATAAGAAAAAGGTTTTGCTCTCAAAAGCTGTTACAGGCTGGATCTTTAAACTTATTCAGGGCTGAGTTAGATTTTTGATACACAGTTAAGGATTATGGGTGTAGACAAGAAAGTGGAGCTGAAACCACAACTAGACCATATTGAATAGTGGAGCAGGCTTGACGGATTAAATAGGAGTAGGCGTAGACTAATGTTCAGAAGTTTATAGACTATATCTTATTTCTGCAAAAAAAAACCAACAAAACTGAAAGTTAAGGGAAAAGGCGACTATCTACCTTAATTGCTTATCCCCCAACATAGGAATTCAGTTATATCATTATTAAGGCAACCTAGAAGGTAGCTATTTCCAGGTCTCATTTTAAATTGGTTGCTCAACCAAGTGTTGCTGGATCTGTCAATCATCTGAACTTTAACCCAATATGGTCATCCTGAACAATAGCCTTAGTGCAAAAAGTGTGTGTCCGAATGCTAATATATTCAATGCTTATTCGGTGGCATATCCTCAAAAGCAGGAAATATGAATGAATTATGAACTGGAGGATATTACTGATGGGGATTGTTTATTTGTCCTCCAGACACGTGGCAAGTTAGTAATCGATGAACGAACTGCTTTTCACCACAGTTCAGCAGTGTTGACATAATATTTTATCAATACTTGCCAATAAAAGTTGCAAGATGTATATTCTTAGCACATGAATTTCCTTATAGTATTTGTCCAATTTTAATCCTGCTTTAAGTTGTTTAAAAAGGAAAGGCTACTTTTTTTTTTGATTGCAGGCAAAAAACTAAAATGGGAAAGGTACAGCTTTAAACTAAGGTACTGTGGAAGATTTTGCAGTTTAAAGAGAAATGAATTACCAGAACTCATTTTGTGTTGCATCTACAATGTTGTGTTATTCAAGCAATGCAGGAGGATGCTAGACACCTCAGGTCAGTGGCAGTTTTATCCAGTGTCAGACTTAATTTTTTTTCCTTACCAGTACCAGTTGTTTGCGTTCAAGAGTAGTCAGCATAGTAACAATTTCTTGTTTGATTCATGGGTGAGTGGCCATAGCCTGTTTGGGCAGTACAGGAGAACCATCCAGCCTGTGAGGAAGAAAATCTCCCTCTAATCCCTCAATTAGCAAATTGAGAGAGAGATTCTGAGCAGCTAGCTACTCTGTGATCTCTCTCTGCAAATTCCTTTCTTGAAGGATTAAAAGGGAAAAATCACCTTCAGGGACACTAAAAAGGCAAATACTTAACCAGTGAAAGAAACACAGAACTGATACATCTCCAACCTCATGACCTCAGAGTTGGAAGGAATTGGACAGGAACTGAGGGTAAACATCTTATTGACTCTTGTAATCTGGGCTAATGCTAGGACTGTGCTTTAAAATTTTTAATTTCTTCCCCACCCACATTTCACGTCTCGTCTCTTTCTTGGTAGGTGTGGAGATTTTTCAAAAAAAAAAAAAGAATCTAAATTGTAGAGAGTTAAGTTAGTAATTCATGCTTTCAACTGAAGGCAGAAAAGTAACAATCCATTTATCAAAGTAGCTGTTTTCTTCTAACTATAGAATCTTTTAACATGGGTTTATCAGTCCAGTAAATTGAAGACATTGAAGGGTTTGATTAAACCTTTTCACTTTTATGAGGACTCTTGAGAATAGTGGGACTTGATTTCTAGTGTCCTATCCAGTGAGTCAATTTGTATGTAAACAGACATCTTCAGCTTGCAACACCTGAGCTGTGGGGAATAGTCCATTTTCCAAGCGTAGGAGGACCTGCAGCAACCCCCAACCACTGCTCATTGTAAATGAGAGATAGTAAGAACTGCTGATGCTGGAGTCAGAGATAATACAGTGTGGAGCCGGTGGAATACAGCAGGCCAGGCAGCATCAGAGGAGCAGGAAAACTGACGTTTCCGGTTGAGACCCTTCTTCAGATTTCTGAAACATCAGCTTTCCTGCTCCTCAACTGAATTACAAATGAATGTCTTGTTCCTGTGAGTGGGTACGAGTGTACAGACCTGGAATGAATGCTACTCTTTGTCCCTTACTCCCACCCTCTGGTTCATTTGCCTTTGACAATGGTGCAATGGAGGCAAATATTTGCCTTGCAGGGAGCATTTTATCAAAGCACAATGCTGGATATTCTTAAAAAGCAACTAGCTATTAAACATAAAAGCACGTTGTCAAAGGTTCACACCAACTCTGGGACAGTGCTATATACCTGGCATCAGTAAGATCACATTTATTTCCTGCAATTGCTACAACTATATTTGGAGGTCCATGCTGTCGCAGTTCCTTCACCCAGTTCTTCAACGTTTGTAATGTCTCCTGTGCAAGAGTACGAACAGAGTAATTACTGCAAAAAAATTACACTGATACAACATGTTTCATGTAGGTTCTAAAGAAAAAGTAACCAATTTTCACCTTTTTTGACATTTCTTATATACTCCTGAGACAACAAGAATTAACTGCATATTGTCAAAATGGTTAATTGCAATCATGTCTACTTTGTCTTCTTTTGGACAGTTAGATTAATTGTCCACAAGAGACTGCTTACCAGCACCTGCTGACAAGATACAGGCAAGCAGTATCAGGATCACTTGCCTGTGCATCAAGTACCAAGCACTATTTGACTTGGTCTAGCTTCCATGGGTTGCCTTTGTTCAGAAGACTGCAAGGCAATGGAAGCCCAAGCTTGCCAATTATTTACACTGAAAATTAAACTGCTTCACATGCACTGTAAGTTGTCCTTTTTTCAGTTGTACATCTCTTTCGAAAATAAAAAGGGTTTTTTCCCCTAGGAATTCCTCTGAACAGGATGGAGAAGCTTCATTATACAGATTGGAACCATGTACCTGGTGAAGGAGAAAGGTTCCAGACAGTGAAAGAGTTGAAACAGTAGGAGTCAAGATCCAGCAATTTCTGTGGTTTTAAGAACTCAGTAGGTCTGACAGTATCTGTGAAGAGAAATCAGAATTAACATTTCGGGTCTGGGGACCCTTCCTCAGAACCTGGACCCGAAATGTTAATTCTGATTTCTCTTCACAGATACTGTCCGACCTGTTGAGCTTTTCCAGCAATTTTTGTGGTTATTTCTGATTTACAACATCCGCAGTTCTTTCAGTTTTTATTTAGGAGTCAATATAGCATTATTAGGGGTCAAGATGATATCTTGTCAAACTGTGTTGATATGGCAGGAGCAGCCACAACATTGAAGTGAGTGAGCAGCTCTTTCATTTATTATTTCCCTTGCTTATAAAACAGTGAACTTATGGAAAGATAGTTTACCAAAAATAAACTAAACTAACCCTTCACTAGAATAGAAAACATGAATTCCTCAACAACTTTCATTACATGCCTCTTTTGTCAAACAGCAACAGACCAATCAGTCTGGGGACTTGGCATAGCAAGGAACTAACTGGAGTTCAAACTTGAGGAACAGGAGGTTGTATCACTAATATTCAGTTGGCAAGAAATGAGGATGTCAGTATGTAATATTCCAAGAGTTTTAAAATGTTTTTGAATTCTGATAGTGGTCATGTCACCTTCAACTCCAGCCTCCTGTCATGTTTCATCACGACAGATAATGAAATTTGAATTCAACATAAATTTGGAATTAAAAGCTGGCCTAGTACTGACCATGTAACTACATTATGGTTAGGGAACACATCTGGATCACGAATGCCCTTTTTTGCTAAGGCATGTGTCATCCTCACTTGGTCTGGTCTGCACATGGCTCCAGACCTACAACAACGTAGTTGACCTCTAACCAGTTCTGAGGAGGAGTCACTTGATGCGAAACATTAACTGATTTCTCTCCACAGATGCTTTTGCAGCAATTTCTATTTTTGTCCTCTCAGCAATCCTCTCAGGGATGGGCAATAAATACTGGCCTCACCAGAGATGCCCACATCCCTTGAATGGATATAAAAAAATTCCACCCTGGAAATAATTGTTTGCCAAGTCCAAATTCTTACCTCTTTTGTGATATCATATACAATGATTGCAGCAGCTGATCCCCGATAGTACATTGGCGCTAAAGCACGGAACTGTTTGGGAAGAAATGGAAAAACTTAAACCAATAGGAGAATTGAACAAGTAGTAATGCAGAAGAAAGCTTGCATTTACATTTAACTGTTCAGATCCTTGCTAAGAATAGTCAACTACTTGCTTTTGAAGTGGAATCACTTTTGTAATGTAGGAAACATGCGACCAACTTGCAGTTAGGTTCCATGAACAGCAATAAGATAAATGATTAGATTATAACGTTGTTCATGGAAAAGTGTGTTCAGCAGAGAGGAACACCACTTCTTTTTAAACCATGTACAGAATCTTGTATGGCTAGAGGGCCGACAGTGCCTTAGTTTAAGATCTCATCTGTTAGGTAGCAATCTCTACAGTGCAGTAGAATCATAGAATTATAAAATCCCAACAGTGCGGAAACAAGCCCTCCTGCCCAACAAGTCCACACCAAACCTCCAAGGAGCATCCCAGCCAAACCCATCCCCCTACCGCTTTTCCTCGTAACTTACCTAATCTACACATCCTGAACACTATTGACAATTTACCATGGCCAATCCACCTAACCTGCACATCTTTGGGCTGTGGGAGGAAACTGGAGCACCCGGCAGAAACCCATGCAGACACAGGGAGAACGTGCAAACTCCACTGTACTCCACTGATGTAGTGCTAACCACTGAGCCATTGGGCTGTCTTAGTAATACCCAAATAATCTACATCTCAAGTAGGACTGAGGTCTGCTTTGCTCTTTGAAGGTCTGCTCATAGTACAACTGCAACATTTGTACAAACACTGCAATTACAGCATAAATATACTCATAAGTGAGAAAACAGTGCCGTTGTCTATGTGGAGAGATTGTATTCTAATTTGGAGATTGGCCATTTGACATCAAGGTCTACATCAGGAAGCACTTTGAAATCTGGAAAACATCCTCCAACAGCTACCCATGCTAAATGTTGTTCAAATAAACATGTAAAAGATTCAGCTTTACATATTGTTGTTGGACAGGGACATTAAGGGTTTCAGAACCAAGGTGGAAAAATGGAGTCAAGAGTTTGTTTTCAACCATAAGACACATGAACAGTATTGATCAATTGATTTATTGTCATGTGTACCAAAATACACAGTGAAAAGCTTTATTTATAAGCAATACAGGCAGATCACAACAAGCAAAAGATGTATAGATCAAAAAGCTTAGAGGCATACAGGTTACATTACATCACACTCAACAGTCTGATAACAGCTGGAAAGTAGTTGTTCCTAAACCTGCTTGTGCACATGTTCAGGCTTCTGTATTTTCTGCCTGACAGAAGAGGTTGTAGGAGGTCATTACCCAGGGTGCAATGGGACTTTGATGATGTTGGCTGCCTTTCTGCAGCCACAAGCTATGCGAATAGTCCATGGATGGAAGGTTGGCTCCCATCATATTCTGGGCTGTGCATGCCAACTTCTGTAGTTTCTTACGGTCCTGGCCAGAGCAGTTGCCATACCAGAATGTTACGCACCCAAACAGTATGCTTTCATTGGTGCAGCTATAGAAGTTGAAGGATTTTATGGACATGCCAAATTTCCTGAGCCACCTGAGGAAGAAGAGGCATTGTTGTGCCTTCTTGACCGTCACATTTATGTGGGAAGTCCAGGACAGGTCATTGGTTATCGTCACTCCGAGGAACTTGATGCTCTCCACCCTCTCAACTTTAGTTCCCCTGATGTAGATGGGGGCATGTTCTCCTCCTTCCTTTCTGAAGTCGATGATCAGTTCTCTACTTCTGCCAACGTTGAGAGACAGATGGCTTTCATTGCACCACGCCACCAAGCCCTCTATCTCCCTTCTGTATTTTGACTCGTCGTTGTTAGATATCCATCCCACTACAGTGGTGTCGTCAGTGAACTTTTAGATGGCATTCATTCGGAATTTGGCAACACTGTCACAGGTGTACAGGGAGTACAGTAAGGAGCTGAGGACATATTCTTGGGGGGCCTCTAGTGTTGAGTGTTATTGTGGAGGAGGTGCAGTTACCTATCCTCACCGATTGCAGCCTATGGGTCAGAAAACCGAGGATCCAGTTCCAGAAGGAAGAGCCAAGACCAAGGTCACGCAGTTTTGAGATCAGTCTGGAGGGGATAATGGTGTTGAAGGTGGAGCTGTAGTCAATCAGCAGGAGTCTGGTATAGGTGTCTTTATTGTCTAGATGTTCCAGGGACGAGTGCAGGCCTAGGGGTATGGCATCATCTGTGGACCTGTTACGACGGTAGGGAAACTGTAGGGATTCAAGGCAGGTTGGGAGACTGGAGTTGATGTGAGCCATGACAAGCCTCTCAAAGCACTTCATGATGATTGAAGTCAGAGCTATTGGTGGTAGTCATTAAGGCAGACTACACATGTTTTCTTGGGTATGGGGAAGATGGTAGCCTACTTGGAGCAGGTGGGGATTTCGGCTTAAATGAGGCAGAGGTTGAAGATGGTGGTGAATACTTCCGCCAGTTGGTCCACACAGGATCAGAGTGCTCGGCTGGAGACACCGCCCGGGCCCATCGCTTTCCTTGGGTTGACTCCCAGGAAGAATGATCTGACTTCTGAAACGATGACAGGTGTGGAACAGGTGTGTCTGGGGCCATTCCGCCCAACAAGTCTGCTCCACCATTCAATCATGGCTGACATGTTTTTCAACCCTATTCTCCTAGTAACCTTCAATCCCCATAGCAATTAAAAATCTCTCTCGGTTTTAAATACACTCAATGACTTGGCCTCCACAGCTCTCTGAGGCAATGAGTTCTACAAATTAACCATCCTCTGGCTGAAAAGAATTGCTCCCCAACTCAGTTCTAAAAGGTCGTACCTTCACTCCGAGCCTATGCCTACAGATCCTAGCCCCTTCTACTGGTGGAAACATCATCTCCACATCCACTCTATCCAGACCTCTCAGTATCCTATAAGCGTTAATCAGATCCTCCCTCATCCTTCTAAACTCAACTGAGTACAGACCCAGAATCCTCAACTGCCTATACGAAAAGTCCCTCATCCCAGGGATCATTCTTGTATACTTCCTCTGGATCTTCTCCAACGCCAGCCAGTCCTTCCTTAGATATGGGGCCCAAAACTGCTCACAATATTCCAACTGCAGTCTGACCACTGCCTTGTACTGCTGAAGCACTATACCTCTGCTCTTGTTCACTAATCCTCTTGAATTGAATGCTAATATAGCATTTGTCTTCCTAACTGCCAAACATACTTGCAATTAATTTTAACAGAATCCTGAACTCTGACTCCTAGGTCGCTTCATGGTTCAGATTTTTGAAGCCTTTCCCCATTTAGAAAATAATCTATGCTTCTATTCTTCCTAACAAAGTGCTTAACCTCACACTTTGCCACATTGAATTCCACCTGCTACTTCTTTGCCCACTCCCCCAGCCTGTCCAGGTCCTTCTGCATTCTCCCCACTTTTGCAACACTACCTGTCCCTCCACCTATCTTTGAGTCATCTTTACACTAACTACAATGCTTCATCCAGATTGTTAGTGTAGAACACAAACCATTGCTTTCCCAACATGGACTCCATATTGGTTGGGCCACTTTTGGAGGATTACTGCAATTCTGGTCTCCCTCCTATAGGAAGGATGTTGTGAAACTAGAAATGGCTCAGAAAAGATTTACAAGGATGTTGCTAGGGTTGGAAGGTTTGAGCTATAGGGAGAGAGTGAATAAGCTATGCTCCCTGTAACTTTGGAAGCTGAGGGGTAACCTTATAGAGGTTTAGAAAATCATGAGGGGCATGGATACGGTAATTAGGCAAGGTCTTTTCCCCAAGGTGGGGGAAGTCCAAAACTAAAGAGCATACGCTTAAGGTGAGAGGGAAAAGATTTAAAAAAGGGACCTAAGGGGCAAGTGTTTCCATGCAGAGGGTGCGTGTATGGAATCAGCTGCCAGATGAAGTGGTGGAGGTGGGTATGATTATAATGTTTAAAAGGCATCTGGATGGGTATATGAATAGGAAGGTTTTAGAGAAATATGGGCCAAATGCTGGCAAATGGGACTACATTAATTTAGGATATCTGACTGGCATGGAAGAATTGGGCTGAAGGATCTGTTTCCATCCTGTCCATCTCTAGGACTCTAACTCCACTAGTCACTGGCTGCCATCCTGAATAAGACCCTTTTATCCCTACTCTCTGCCTTCAGCCAATCACCCAAACCTCCATCCATGTCGCTACTCTAACACCATGGGCTCTTATGTTAGGTAGCAGCTTCCTGTGCAGCATCTTATCAAAGGTCTTCTGGAAATCCAAATAGATCATGTCTACATGGAGGAGATAACACACAAGTTACATAAATAATTCTAACAGATCTGTCACGTATGACCTCCCAGAAGGAGCTGGATTCTGGAACACTGTCTAAAAACAGGAACAGGAGTAGTCCATGCAGCTCATCAAGCTTGCTCTACCATTCGGTACAATCATGGCCAATTTGAAAACTTCAAATGACCTGTAGCCACCACAACGCCATTACCAATGGGATACAGGTAATCAGATACCCATCAACCTCTACCTTAAACAAAGACCTAGCTTACAGAGTTCTCTCTGGAAGACAATTCCAAAGATTCAAAACCCTCATAATAAAATAATTTTTCATCTCAGACACCCTTTTGTTCCAATTGTGCCCCCTGGTCCTAGACTCTCCAACCAGGGGAAACCTCTTACCTGCATGTACACTTAAGTTTTTTTTTGAAAAGAAGTGTCAATGAGATCACGTCTCTGAAATCCTAGAGAACATAGGCCTACTTTGGGCAAGTGCTCTTCAGAGGGCAGTCCCGGCATACCACGAACAAGATTGCTGAATCTTGTTTGCATTCCCTTTATTCCTAATATCTTCTTTCAGATAAAAGGAGCCCAAAACTGTATGGCACTTCAGGAGTGGTGTAACCAAACTCCTAAAGAATCGAACCCAGTCATCACTAATCCTGTAGTCAAATCCTTTTCTAATGTAATTCCATCAGCTTGCTGCACCTGCAGATTACCCTTCAGCGAATTATCACCAAGAACACCCAGGTCCCTTTGCAGATCTACGCTTTCCAAACTCTTCCTACTTTAAAAGAAGCATTCTGTTCCATCTACCAAAGTGGAGAACCCCACATTTTTCCACAGGATATTCCATCTGCCACGTTTTTCCCTATTCATTAAGCCTCCCAAACCCCCTTTACGTGATTCTAAAAACAGAATTTCCCACATAGCTACGACTCATTCTTTGGAAAATTTGGCAATATTACGTTTGGTTCCAACCTCCAATTCATTGATATCCAGCTGGAGCTCAAGTACTTATCTCTGTGGCATTCCACTATTCCCAGCCTGCCAATGCAAGAATGACCTAATTACTTTCACTTTGATCTGTTTGCCAATCCTTAAG